TTAATTTATTAGTTTAACAGAACTAACTTTATATTAATCAATGTGGAATTAGAAATTTTAGATGAAGGGAAAAGTATGCAAGTGGAAGAATGGTAAAGAAAAAAAGTAGAAATATAAAAATAAAATGATGAATGTTTTAAATTGAAGTGGAAAAAGGATAAAGCTGGGAGAGAATAAAATCAAAAATATGAAAATAAAAGAATGAAAAAGAAAAAAAATATAAATAAAAATTATATAAAAAATAAAAATATAATAAGAAAAATTATTATTTTTAAGAAAACATAAAGAGATAATAATGAATATTATTATTTATTATTTAATATTTAAATTTATATATATATATATGTATATATATATATATATATATATATATATATATATATGTATATATATGTATATATATGTATATATACATATATATATATATACATATATATACATATATATACATATATATATATATATACATATATATATATACATATATACATATATGTATATATACATATATGTATATATACATATATGTATATATACATATATATATATATATATACATATATATATATATACATATATATATATAACTGAGGCGGCTGTGGCCACCCACATCTCCTGGCTCCGCCTTGCATCCATCACTTGAGCGGTTGACATGGTTGAATTTGAAAACATGTATGATTTTAGTTTAAAATAATCAAAGACAAAACTTAGTTATAACATTTCTAGTATTTAAAATATGTATTATTTTAATTAATCCTTAAATATTAATTGATAAATAAATTTTAAAAAAATAAGGCCATGCCCTTCACTTATTTTATTGGTCAAATTTTCTAAAGTATTTAAAAATATTCTTTAAAATAATTTATTTTTCAATTTTCAAATCTATAACTACCAAATATATATTTTTTATAACAATTATTAATAGGAATTATCATGTTTTATATATATATATATATATATATATATATGCTACTGAAAAAAGGAAACGAAGAACTTATTCTACACTAAATGAAGTTCAATTGATTATTATGTAAAAGGTTAAGTGTGTAACGATTTTAGAAATCGCTTCTAATAATTTCATAAAATAGTAAATAAGTAAATAACAATATCTATATTACATTATATTACTGTAATTATATTATAGATCGAAATCCCGATTCACTAGTGGAATCTCGGAACATAATAAAATAATTTATTTATACAAATATATGCAAAAGTAGTTCCCACAAAGCTACCCCACTGAACTATTCTTATTATTCAGTAGTCGCATCTCCACCTCTCAATTCTTGATTTGCTCCCACATAAAAATGATCATCGCAGATCCCATCTACATGGAAAAATAGGGGTAAGTATTAAATCATTTGATATAATAAAATAGATATAAAAGTAATAATTACATATTATCATCAATTACAAATCATCAATACATTAAGACACCTTTTGGAAGTCTACCCTAATTATGCCCGAACTTAAAGACTATTATCTGTGGGCACATTGTGATCGGCACCCGCAGTACCATTCTGACCACCCTCTACACAGAGTAGGATTACTGGCGCCCTTCATCATTCATACTGGAGTATCCCTCCAAGCGCACCACTAGTCATCCCCCATCGACTTCTCACCACCTGATCTCGTAGTCTACTTGACCCGACCAAATAGTGAAATCTAGGACCTCATTCAGAATCATACGACATAATTATTACACTAATGTACCACCCCGGATACCATTCAAACATAACAAAAATTATTCACATCTGCTGGATTCTCGACCACCTGTCCTCACGACTCATTCGGGTCAATAAATAATAGTACTTGACTGATTCTGGGCACCAAGCCTCCGGCTCAGTCTAGCCAATACATAACATCTCATTACTGATTCTAGGCATCAGCCCTTAGACTCGAGCCTCGACCCACACACGTCACAACACACTATTGAATCTTTAAAACTGCTACCTTCATTCTATATTTTAAATATATATATATATATATATGTATATATATATATATATTCTTTTTTTTCGAAATCATTAAATTACTATTTTGCCCTTAATCTTTTCTCGAAAATTCCATGTGTCCTTAAATGACTATTTTATCCTTGGACATTTTCGAAAATTCCTTCCATGTTTTGAAAATGACTATTTTACCATTGAACATTTTCAAAAATTCCTTCCATGTCCCGAAAATAACTATTTTACCCTTGAACATTTTCGAAAATGCCTTCTATGTCCCTTTCTTTTTCCTCACGTAAGTAACAATATTAAATTTTGCAGATTTTAGCAAATTTCAAATTACTCAGTTTTAGACAACCAAACTAGTCTCAAATTAAAATTAAACATGACTTATATCTAATTTAAGTTGAAAATAACAATTTTACCATATAATTCATCCTTAATTTCAAGAATTTGCAAAATATGAGAAATCTTCAAAATCAATCATTCTGATGTTCAGATTTCCACTCCTATTCCTTATTCACAGAGTACTCAAAAAATTCGGTCTCATATTGAATGAATTAAACTTCCCCTAACCTGGTGTGGTATTTCTACTGAAGCTTTCTCACTTAATTCAAGTTTTTTCCCGTTTCACCAGATAATGTATGAGTAGAGTCTTATTGCTTAAAATTTAGACAAAAGAAAAAGAAAGATGAGAGGGAAAACTACTTGCTGAAATTTTCTATCTCCTCCCTTTTTGTATGCGCATATATAAAAGAAAATTTTACTATGAGAAAAACTTTGTTACGAAAGTTTTATTGCACAATAAGTTATAATATAAAAAAAATGTCACTTAGCAAGTTGAGTGAATTAATAATATTTAATTGTTGGGAAGGGTTTTCTTTAATTGTTTTCAGTTGTGGAAAAGTGTTATGAGAAGGTGGAATTCTGGTTCTAAAAGTGAGGGGTCAAATTTGAATTGGAAGAGTGAAAAGGTCAAATCCAAGTTGGTAAGGTGGGAAAATATGTTTTCTCTTCCCACCAAGTCATTCTAGAATCTGATTCCATATTTTTTCTTAAAACTGGAAGTGCCAAGTGTTATTATTATAATGACTTCTTTTCTTAGTGAAGGGGCCATTGGATTCCCATTCTCTCTTAATAAATCGCACGTTAACCACAAAGATGTTAAAGAGAGTCGAAAATTAAAAGAAAAATAATAAAAAATATGAGAAACGAGAGAAAAGGAACATAAAATTGATATAATGGAATAAAAGAAAATTAAATAATAAGATAAAATGTATCTTGACCAAAATATTTTGTTATTGTTTTTAAGTAAAATTAGTATGAATTAAAATTATGATATAATTAATATAAACTAATTAATTTATATTATAGATAAAAAAATTATATATATTAAAATTAATTTATATATAATTTATAAAAATAATCTATGATATTTTAAAAAAATAAATTATTTTTTATAATTATAAAAATTTATAAGTACTTTTAAATTGAAAAAATTGTTTTAAAATTTATTTAAAAATAAATTTTAAATAATTAATTACAAATCAAGTACAAATTTTTATTTTACATACTAATTAAAATGTATATATATATAAAATAAAAATATAATGAAAAATAAAATTATACATTAAAATTACATTATTAAAAAATTAAAATTTATTAATAACTTACACTATAGTATTAATATATTTAAATAAATTTGAAAAACTATTTTTTTTTAATCGGTGAAATTTAAATATATTTTAAATTTTATAATATAAATTATATGTAATTATGTTATTTTGTTTCTTATATTTTAAAATTAAATAAATATATTTTTTAATAATATTTTACTTATTTTTTTAATTAAAAATGTAACTAATTAAATTAAATTTATTCAAAATTCAAACTTAAATTTTAATAATCATAATTATAAGAGTTTAATTGTTAATATAAGTTTTATATTGTAAAAATAAAAATATTATAAATGAATAATTAATGTAACAATCAATATATTTATTATAAATAATTATATCTAATTAAATCATATTTTAATAATTTTATTTTAATAATATTTTTTATTTACCTTCTAATATTATTTTTAATGTAGATAGGAGAAGTTGTATTTGTTTGACTAAAACAATTAAAATTTGTAATTAAAATATAATTAATTTGTATTTTATAGGTTACATGATTTAAATAGGATTCGTTATGTAAATTAAGCATCATTACATAATCAATGATGTACTACTTATTCCCTCGTTCACTAAACTTTTTTATGCAACTCATCAAATTCAAATTATATCTTTTTTTATAAATCCAACTTCTCATTTTTTTCTTTGACTAAAAATAACCAAATCCAAATATAAGTTACATCATGTCCTGTTGGTTAATATAATAAATGTGATAAATAATTTTTTGGATATATTTAATTCAATTTTATAAAATTATTTTATTAAAATAGAATTATACTTATTTATATATTATAATATTATATATATATATATATATATATATTTATTCGTGTAAATGATTCAATATTGATAATCTAGTTTACAATCAATGTCATAATATTATTATAATCAACTTTTGATTTCATCTTTTAAAATAATAAGATATTTAATTTAATTTTACATAAATCAATTTAGTAAATAAAAAGTAAATTATAATATCACTCAAAAGTAAATTATAAAAAGTAAAATATAAATTGTGAATTATGAACTTTTTATTTCATGACTACACAAAAGAAATAATCTCATTATAAGAATATTTATACAGCACTTAGTTGTCATTATTATCATCTCTCAAACGAATATGCTGGTTAAGAGCATAAACAAATCCAAATCCAAAATTTGCGAAACTTCAAAATCAACGTCATAACATAAATCTATCAACACCATTCACAACTCACTCTTGATTATTATTACAATAATCGTAACACAACCCATAAAAATGAAGCCATGTACCTCCATCTTCTAACATGGTAACACTATTCATAATATAATTATAAACGGCTCTTTCAATTCACACCATTTCTGCAAAGGAAAGTGGAATTTCAAGGGACCAAAATTACAGGGGAGAAGGTGCAGGTTCTGCCACAATGTCCTCTGACACGTCAGAAACAGGTCCAGGTGCAGCTCCAGAGCTCACAAGCTCAACCATGGCTCGACGAGGGTTCGTCTTGTGCTTCTCACACAGTTCTGGCAAAAATACCCCTGCAACACATCATAAAACTTTTATATCTTTCACACATATTTTGTGGAAGCCACAGTTTCTTTATTTTAATTATTTATTTGTTTTATAACAACAATCTATACCTTGATTAGGTTTCAAGTTAAAATGGGTATTTGGTACGCTAAGGCTTTCAGAGTGAACGGTGAAAGCATAACAAAAAAGCAGAACACGAATGAGAATTGTCCTATGTTTAAGAAAAGGTAACCACCTTAATTTTTATTTTCTTTGTTGAGATGGCGTTATTGTATCAGTTAAGAAAACCCAAGCAACAACGCATGCATTAACACGCAGACTATTCTTGTTAGTTAAACTTCCACCTAGGAAAAGTTATTCGTAGACACAACTATTTTTTCTTTTGTTTTTTAATATGAGATGGTACCTAATGATCATCATTGACCACGACCACTAGTTTTATAATGGGTCAATTCTGCAACCCAAGTTAAAAAACAAAAGACTACCAAACATGTTAATTATGATAATGAAGTTTCGGAAATTGAAATGATTTTAATTACTTATATTTCATGTCTTGTGTGCACATTTTTTTTAATCCTTTCCTTTATAATGAAGAATATATTAAATCAATTCAAAAATAAAATTAAATATTAATAAAAAATGATATTTTTATTAAAAGTTTTAAAATTAATGGATTCGATTTCATTTTTATTGGATAATTAAAAATCAATCTGAATTAAACCAAACTGAAATTATAATATATATTCTTGAAACTAAAATATAAAATAATATTTTATATAAAATAATTTATTAGTTTTTTATAATTTAAGATATATATTATTATTTTTTAAATTAATTATAAAAATAAATTAAAAATATAAATATTATAATTAATTCTTAATATTTTTTTATTTAATAATTATTTTATTATAATATGCTTAATAAATTTATAACAAAAAATCATTTAAAAACTGTATTTAAATTTTATATTTAATTCATGTGATTTTTTTAAGGTAAGATTGAACCAAAATTAACCACGATACCCTATTTATTATTAAAAATTAATAAAAATAAATGTAATTTAGTCACTAATATTATTTTCAATTTAGTGATTGATTTTTTTTTATTATTATTATAAGTTATAGAAAAGTGACGTGAAATAAACATTATGGAAAATTTGACAGAAGTATGTGAAGATGGTGGTTAGAGTTAGCAATGAACAAATCTTACCCTCTCCAGCAGCCAAGTTGAAGAAAAGGTCAACAATGTTGGAGCAACGTTGATAACATTCTGAAGAGCAAAGTTTGCCGGTGAATTGAGGCTCAAAGAATGCATCAGAAGAAATACCAACAGAGTTCCGATCAACCCCACATGCCTCCACACATTCGTCTGTCTCTATGTAATTTGCCATCCTCTCCACCACCACTTCCGACGTCCGGCATTGGTACTCCACGCCGCCGTCCGCCGCCTTCTCTGTCTCCAACAAACACCTCTTCCCCGATGAAGCTACTGAGAATGCACACACTTCCTTTGGAAGATCCTCACATGCCATCTCACCTGCCAATTCATAAATTCTACACATGTTATGAAACAAAAAAACCTAACAACAATGAAAAAAGCAAGGAAAGTCTTATCTCATTATACAAAGATAAACTGGATTACTCACCCAAAGATGCATGGATGAAGAGGGAAGAAAGTAAAAGGATCAAAGGCAATTTGTTAAAGAAAGACATGGTTCTAACAATGATGTTGTTTTCTTGTGTAAGAAAAATGGGTTTTGTGTATTTAATGAGAAGAAATGGGCACAATGATTTTGGAAAGGAACTAATGGGGTATATATAAGGGTAAAACTACGCGTCCCTCATGGACTTAAGGACACGTTTGGAAGGTTCACACGTTTACTAAGTCTTACATCATTCTCGATTTTATTTCCTTTTTCATTAAATAATCAAAGAAATAACTTTCTTTAATAAAATTGGTTCCATTTTCTTGCGCTTGAATGTTGAGTTGTTTCCTTCCCCAAATCGTGATTATTGGCGACTACCTAAGACGTGTTTGGGTGTCTTTGAAAACTTAGAAGTTTCCAACAACTTAAGGCGTAGAAGTCAAACCCCATTTGTTTATTTTCCCATTCATTCATTTATCAAAAACGTGTCCACTTCGGTATATTATATTGCTTCCAAAACAATTCTGAGAAAAAAGAAAACAAAGAAATTTGTCATTGGTGTCGGGTAACGTGTACCTGTATAAAAAATTAAGTTTGCTTGGAAAGTTAAAATGGTTACGAGTGCAACACATGGGAAGATAAAATCAACACCATGAATTTTAACCCTAAAGTGAAAATGATCACAAGGATCTTAATTAGTGTTTGGACTTTAAGATAGATTTATGTTCAAAGTTAAGTCCATGCCGTGTTTTTCTTTTCAATGACAGAAGAAAAACTAAGCTATTTTCATGAAAGATTATGCACGTAGTCATAACTCAAAAACTACTCTATCGGTGAAAAGAAAATACAATTAATGTTCCATATTTATTGATATAACTGCAATACGCACATACACGTGTCATGTAACTTTAGTTGAGAGAATCATTTTTTTTTATGCTTAGGAGAATCAATTAGTGGGTGAAATAATCATGTTTCCTCAACCAATCATCGATGAGAAGTAAAAGCAGTACAAATATATCAATCAAGAAGGTTCCATCCCAAATCCATAAATAATTGTGAATTTAAACTGTATGTAAAGAGAATGTTAAGAAAAAAGGTATTGTCTTTCAGATATGTTTTTCTTTTCTCCAATAATTTATTTATGAATTAATCTCACAATTTTCATATTAAAGATCTATTAAGTAAAAATAATATATAAGCTAATTATTGTGTATGTTTCAAGATGCTTGGAGGGTAGGAAAACATCTTTTTTATTCTATTAATAATGTGTTTTGTTCAGCGTCAAAAGCTCATTGTTATGTAAAAAAAAAATTAGTGTATGAAAAGAAAGGATAAGTTAATATTAATGAACTTTTTACGATCGTTGGACAAAAAAAAATCGACTTAAAAATATGGGTGACATTTTTGTATATAAGGGACACTACTTCTCCGTCGGACTTTTTAGAGGTCAACGTAAAATTTTTACGTCAGGTGACTCCCTAATTGTCGTAAAAAACAACTTTTACGTCGGTTCCTATGAAGTCTAATATAAAAATCACATTTTTATCGCTTTATGACTTCTTTTTTTCCTCTCATGTAAGGGTTTTCAAGTGATGATGACTGCAACAAATAAACAAGCTCCTCTCTTAAGGTACATTTTGATCACAATGAGTGATGAAAACACTTGCATTATGTCCCATTTGTGGTGATTGACGTTTTTCTCCAATTGAATTCGAGTTTTAAAGCGTTTTTTGTATATTTGAGGTTAATGTTCTGTGTATGTATCTTTAAATCCGTGATTATTTTTGGAGATATCAATCATATTATTGAAATTGAATTGTTGTAGTTTGTGACTATCTGTTTATGTGTTTGAAATATAATATGATATGATGTGAAGATATTACAATATACACTACAACAAAAACATCAAATAATGACCAAATTTTCGGTCACTAACTAAAATAGTTAGAGACTGAAAGAATTATTACTGACGGGATTCGAACCCAATATCTTAGAGTTAGAGGTCGATACTCCAACCACTTAACTACTAAGAATTTTTTATAATAGTTTATAAATAAATTATATTTATATACAAATAAAAATATATATCCATGTAAATATATAAATATAAAATATATAAATACAAATATATATATATATATATATATATATATATATATATATATATATGTGATGTGAGGGGCGCTCGAGGGTGAAAGTGTGTCGAGTAGATTTTTAAAATTTGATATCAAATTTGTGAGTGGGTCTCTTTATATGAGTTTATAATTTAATGACATAATATAATTTTTATAATTTATTTATATAATGATATAAAATAATTTTTTTCTTTATTTATTTTTATTTTATTTTAATTTATTCTTCTTATATTTTTTTCTTCTATTATTTAATTAAAATTCTTATATTAAAATATTTTTTTCAATATTAAAAATAATTAAATATTTATTTTTAAAATTATTTAATTTAACAAATTATTATAAATTAATCTAATTATGATTATTAATTGAACAAATTTTTCCTAACATATATTATTATAAATTAATCAAAATCATCTTTTAATAATTATTTTTTCCAGACATAGATTAATTCATAATAATTTGTTAAATTAAATAATTTTAAAAATAAATATTTAACTATTTTTAATAATGAAAAATTATTTTAATATAAGAATTTTAATTAAATAATAGAAGGAAAAAAAAGATAAAAAGAATAAATTAAAATAAAATAAAAATAAATAAAGAAAACAATTATTTTATATCATTATATAAATAAATTATAAAGATTATATTCTATCATTAAATTATAAATCCATATAAAGAAACTCGCTCACAAATTTGACATCAAATTTTGAAAACTCACTCGACACATACTTTCACCCTTTAGCGTGATCCTTACATCGAACATATAAATATATAAATATATCAAAATATATAAATATATTTGTATTTATATATTTTATATTTATATATTTACACGGATATATATTTATTTGTATATAAATATAATTTATTTGTAAATTTTTATTAAAAAATTCTAACAGTTTAGTGGTTGGAGTATTAATATCTAACTCTAAGGTACTGGTTTTGAATCTTATTAGTAATAATTTTCTTAATCTGATTAAAAAAATTTGTTAATAAGAGAAATTATATATTTTTGTAGAAATTAGAGCAATTAAATTGTTGTTATGGACTAAAACCCAAAAAGTAAAAAATAAAAAATATAATTAAATAAAAGAAAAACTATATATTTTGCATTTTTATTTTCAAATATTAGTTTTTTTATGAAATTATTTTTAATTAAAATAATTAAAGTGATATATATATAAATTTTTTTATTTTTTATTTTAATTTATTAATATTATCAAATTTTAGCTTCATGATTAAAAAAATACCAATAATTTAAATTTTATTAATTCTATAATTTTATATAATTATTATTATAAATTTAATTCTCCAATAACTAATAATATTAACACATTTATTAAATTAAAATTCTTTATTTTAATTAATTATTTTGATTTTTTTAACAATTTTTTTTAATAAAAACGATAAAACTTAAAATTAATTTCTAACTAAATCTTCACAAATTTATGGTTAATAGTATATTATATTATTGTGTTTAATTAAATTTTAAAATAAGTTCACTTAATCTTTACACTTTTATAAAAATACTAATATAAACTTAAAATATTTATCCAATTACTAAATTATTTAAAATATTAATATAAATTTGAAATATCAATTCAATAATTAAAATAATTTTAATTTTTTTTATAAATACATTGAAATACATTTTTATTAACATAAAAATAATATATATATATATATATATATATATAAAAGAGACTAAATTAATAATTAATTTAATCATTGATTATATATATATATATATATATATATATATATATAAGAGATTAAATTAATAATTATTTTAGTGATTGAATCGGTGACTAATTTAATAATTAATTTTAATTTTTTTATTCACATACTAAATTAAAAAATAAAATAAAATAATTATATTACTAAATTATTTAATAAGTTAATAAATTGTTTTTTAAATTTTTTATAATGTTATTAAAAATTTTATCAATTATTTTAAATTATTAAGTAGATTTATATTTAATATATTATTAAAATATTTTTAAAAATTATTTATATAAATAAAAAATGGTCACTAATTTATATATTATTTGTTTAGTGACTAAAATTTTAGTTACTAAATCGATCAATATATATAAAAAGAGAAATCAGTCACCGATTCAGTTACTATTAGTAACTGAATTTTTCGGTCACTAATTTCGATCATTATTAACCATTTTTCTAGTAGTGACTGAATCAATGACTGATTTGGTGACCGAATCAGTGACCGATTTCCGTGACTAAAATTTTAGTCACTAAATCAGTCACTAAATATAAAACGGAAATCAGTCACTGATTCAGTTACTATCAGTGACTGAATTTTTCGGTTACTAATTTCGGTCACTATTAATCATATTTCTAGTAGTGATATAGGGTTTAGGATTTTATGATGATGAAAAAAAAAACAGAAAATGTTCGAAGAATGATAACTTTTTAGGAGAAAATAAAAAAGAAAATGTTCGGAAGAAGAGAAAAAAATGAGGAAGAGGGGGCAAATGGCCGAAGGGGATTTGTCCCAAATATTTTTCCAAACTATGCTCATAACCACTTATAATAGACAAAAGTTTGTGTGAGTATAACTGATTCTTAAATGGAAGTAATTTCTTTCAACATTTGTTAAGTTAATTTACTTTTATGTGTATTACATATAAACATGATTCAAATTAATGTTTCAGGTATTTCAAGATTTATATCCATCTCTACTATTAGATTACACAAATTAGAGAATAATGAACAATGTTTTTTGTTCAACATTTCTAATACTTAATTTGTAGGTTATTGTTTATATTGCAGTATGTAGTTTAACATTTAGGTAACTTAACTTTTGTATTAGTTTAGTTTTTGTATTAGTTTAAACTTTATATTAGTTTTGTTTTGTAATACTTAACTTTTAAGTAGTTTAACCTTTGTACTAATTTAGTCTTTGTATTAT